TATTTGGAAACAGGCAACAAACTAAATTGCTATATGTGCAAATAATCTTTGGACAATTAAAATTTCACACGGCATCTAGATGAAAAGATTGTGAAATTATGTTTCCAGCTCTATTTAGAATCCTGGTTGGCTGCTACTTGCTTATAATCAGTAGCCTGTTCAATTTCGACTATCATTAGTTTCCAAGAGAAAATGTCCTATCTTTCCTCAGATAGACTAGAAAATGAAGTTGCAAAGGAGAAGACTTCACTACAATTAAACTACAACTATTGACATTTGGCAAATATATGTCACTGCCCAATGTATCTGTGTATACAAACAGACACAATTCCTAAAGGAAGGAAATGCCACGTTCCAAAAACAAACAAACAAGCAAACACAAAACCTCACATGTTTATCTCCACAAACAGAATTCAGTTACACCTCATAACACAGATCTAAAAGGGGGTGGGGGCGACTGGGTGGCTCAGTCAGTTGAACCTCTGACTCTTGGTTTCCACTCAGGTCGTGATCTCATGGTTGCTGAGTTCAAGCTCCACCATCTGAGGGAATTCTGTCTGTCCCTCTCTCGTTGCCCCTCCCCCGCTCACGCTCTCTGTCTCTCAAAATAAATAAACTTCAAAAAAAAAAAAATGTAAAACTAACTAACTAACTAACTAAATAAATAAATAAATAAATAAATAAATAAAGGGGAGGTAGGAAGTTCCTCCTCTGAGCCAGAAAATCACAATTACAATCACCCCAAGTCATTGGTTACTGAAATGATCCATAGTGGGCAGACTGGAATTGTCAAATATGGAGATTTTCACCACTAAGCCAATTCTGTCTTATGTCCTATGGCCCTTTCTCTACACAACCATTGTCAACCAATAGGCAGGCACTGTGAGATATCCTTTACACTCATCGCTCTTCGGAAATCTTTTCTAACTAATTTCATTCAGTCAACCACTAGGACAGTCAGTCAGACAACAAACACTTATTGAATGTCTATCATGTAGCTGGCACCATTTTGGTGCCAGCGCAGTGAAAATATATCAGTAAACAAAACATAAAACTGCTTACCCTCATGGAGCTTATATTCTAACTGCATCACATTTACTTTAAAGATATTTAAAAGTAGAGATGATGAAAGCAGATGTTTGATAGAGATGAATACACAGAGTCATAGATACATCAACAGATACAATGGTTGGTACATAAGCACATAGTTATCCTATATTTCCCAGGGCACTCAGAATTATATCACTAAAGAGTATGTTTGGGATATAAATCAAGTATGCTGCTTTCCAATTGTTTTCCTATAACATTATGTGTGCATGTTATCCTCATTATGGGCTTCCCCTGAGCAGAAAACATGTTCTTCATTTTCTTCATACTCTGTTCAGGGGGCAAGTTGTACAGTGTCCCCAAACAGACTATGAGTTCATTAACTGAGTGTTTGTTGAATAATACATTGCATTTATCAGGTGCTTTTTAACTTTTTAAAAGGCACTTTGATGCATGTTATCATTATTAATATCACACACATATTCTTCCTCTAACGCTAGATCAAGAAGAAGACAGCGATTATAGTAAGGGTAATGGTGGTAACACAAATAGTATGTTTGAGACCACCAGCTTTGTTTGCTAAGAACCTGTCCAACATCATTACTGTTGTTGGCTTTTTGTTTTATGAATCTCGATGGAAGTTCAGACTCCAGAAAGTGCAGGCACCAGGGAGTTTAAAATCACAACAATAGAAGCAAGGCCCAGAGAAAAAGTCACATCCAAGGGCACAGTCTAGGACTTCAATCAAATGAGTTTTAAACTTCACGTTGTTAAAATGAAGATTCCCAATAACAGCCTAACCCAGACATTCTCATTCACTTAGAACTGAAGGCCAGGAATATGAATTTGTATAAACAGCTGATGGAAGCCCCCTGAGAAATACTGGTCCAGAGAGAGCTTACCTGACTTCAAAGGCTGGGCTGGGGATGGTTAGTTAGTTCAATGAATGGCTTCCACAGCTTGGCATGGTCAGATATGGCTTGATATGAGAGACATACATACATACATTACAGCAAACATAACAAAGTGATAAGAAGAGCCATCATTTCTGAATGCTTCTGTTACAAGAACCACTACTGCTAAAGATGTAGGACCAGGATCTAGTCCCATGGAGGAAAGAACTAGAATGCTTTGAATGCTCTAGTCTCATGGTACTGTCTAGGCTGGTTTGCATCCTTGGGGAGATTTGGGTTGCAGACAGGAAAATCCAGCATAGTGAGAACATGGAGGAAAACTGAGACGGAATGCCAATCTGGGCAGGATAGGTTGAGAGGAAGATAACTTGGCACTTTGAAGGATTTACTTATTCTTATCCCTAATATTCTAGAACTGGTTAGGAAATGGGGAAGGGCAACACAAGTCAAAACTGGAGGCCCACTATAAAAACTCAAACCTGAAAATCATAATTCAATTCCAAGTTCCATAATGAATTACCTTATGAGGATGCTGTGTTTTCTACTTCCATAAGGAATGGCCCAGAAATGAAGTCTGAAGGGCAGATGTGTTATGGAAGGAGAAACAAGAGGCAGGAGTTAACCCTGAACTTCAAGAGTCTCTATTTCCCATAAGAAAAGTAGAAAAAGAAAAGCATTATGCTATAGCAAGAATCTCATTTTAAAATCTATAACTGTCATTATTTTCTCCACATACTGAGAAATGTTCTACCATAATCAATGCACAAAACGACCACAAGTAGAAAGTGACAACTAGACCTTTCCATAGATCTTGAAACATTTAGATGACAAACATTCAAGTAACTACAAGTTTAAATTATCAAGCAACGTTTTTGCTGGCAAGGTGTTATGAATTCATATCTAATACATAGGGGTATATGGAAAAAATATTAGCATTTATTTAAACCAGAGGGAGTGTTTTCATGTATGTAAAAACTGAAGTTGAAAGAGATTCACTGGCTTCTCCAAGGACACGCTTGGGTAGTCCAGGACGATGCAAGTAAACTTTTACCTTTTTAATTTTTAATATAATTTCATTCCTTCTTTTGACTTCTCTACTGATAGATAGAAAAACACTTTAGTGGAGTTCTTCTTGACATTTTATCTTTTTCATTTTTGCTAGTTTATTAAGAAAAAATAAACATATACAGAAGTAGAGAATATTACCATAATCCCAGGTACCCATCTCCCTGCAATAAAAGTCTTGGTTCTCACACTCACTCATTCCCACCCCTCGCCCAAGATTATCTGAAGCAAATTCCAGACATCACATAATTTCATACATAAATAGTTTGGCATAGAGCTCTAAAATATCAGTACTCTCTTTTGAAAAATCAACAACATATGGCTTCATGTGACTTAATGAGATTAGGAAACAATACATTTAAATCACAGTGCATAAATTCATATTTATTATTATATCAATAATTGGGGGATTACCTTGGGTGAAATAAAGCTGAAACCCAATGAATGCATTTAAGTGGTAGTTTTTCAAGTACAATGATTTTTCCATACCAGTACAAGTTCATAGGATTTTTTTTTCATTAAAAGATTCCTAGTCATCACTTTTCCCCAAATCAGAAACTTTTGAGTAAATTATTCTCACTCCATTATGACTACTAGACTCTGGAGATTATGAGATTTCCCACTTGAAGCTTCCATCTTCATTGATTATGATGATAATCAAGTGAATTATTCTTTTGCTCTTGATAACTACAGAGCTCCTTGATTCCAGTGGCTAATAAAGGCTCTGGTATTGGAAGTAAAACTGTTAAAAGGATCGAGAACAGCAGCTCAAAGCTCAGGCCAGGCAGTGTTTCAGAAAAACATACTAGTTGACTTGAAAAAGCCACTCTGCTTTGTAGCAAACATTAAGAACTTATTAAGTAATAAATATTTACATATTAAATAATAGGATGTCTAGGGTGTGCTTCAAAATAATTCTGGGGAGAACGGTGGATGGAAATATTATAAACTGGGCTATTTGTTGATAGACGCTGAAGTTGGGCGATAAAGATTTATTACATTATTCTCTCTACTTTTGTATGTATTTGAAATTGCTCAATATTAAAACTTGTTACAAAAAGGATTAGAATCACATGACAATGACACAACAAAGTCCTCAAACACACTTTGTGACCCTTCCTGCTTGAATCAACTCATCCAAACAGCTAGAAAATACAAATCAAACTGATCTGAGTTGCGCCACTTTCCAAATGACCCAAAAACAGCACAAAGGGAAAAAAAAGGAATGTGAATAATATGTAATTGGACCAGTTACCTCTAATTCTTTGATTGGTTACAGGTTAGTCCTACTTTGAGCTTCTAAAGAACCCGATTGGAACCCTTTTCAGAAAACATGAATTATTTCTTAGTTTCATAGGGTGACTATCAAATGTTATAAAGTGGACATAAAATTTCCTTGGAAAATACTGCCAAAGAATCACATCAGCCTTAGGGGAAGGGAAAACATGGCCTAATATTTCAGAACAAAAAATAGTCTTGAAAAATTAGTCCTATGCTGACACTTTTATAGTGAATATTTTAAAAACTGAATTAAAATGAACAAAAGAACCATAATGAAAACAAACAAAAGATTTATTTGTTAGTGACAAGGGAATCTGTATTTAGATCAAACAAATAATAGAAAAGAGAGAAACCCTGCTCAATTCTATAAAGTGTAAATGTCCTGGTGACCAATCAGTGTTCTCTTTTCAGATATTTACCTAGAGTTGTCAGAACTTGGTCTCTGCTTGGTCTGACCCACTTCGACCATTAAAATGGACACCCTGGTTGCTGAAAAGCTCTGACCAGCCCCAGATCCCAGCATTCCCAGAGTTTAAGCCCATCCATGGGAGCCCAGGCTAGCTGACTACAGATGGGCACTTGGACAAAACTTCCCCCAAAAGACAAAGGCCTGGCAAGGATTCAGGCAGTGAGCTCACAACACCACTGACACCAGCCTGAGAAAGGTCTTCTGAAAATTTCATTTTACCTGAGGTTCTAGAGCAAGGAAGAGAAGAAGAGAAGAAGGAGGAGCTACAGAGAAGGAAAAGGAGCAAAAGAGGGCATGAAGGAAAGAGAAAGAAAAATCCGTGATATGACATTTTGTTCTGATTTTCTAAAGCAGCAAGTGACATCCAATATCTTCTAAAGAGAATCAAAAAGTAAAACATTCCCCAATTTTGTGTATGCCTCTCTTATGACAAGTACCATATTTTACCTTATATTTTGAATAACTGTGTATATTTCTCCTGTTATATGCCTGGAAGGAAGAAAGCATTTGAAATTTAATTTTGAAATGACATAGTCTCTATTAACAATAACTATACTTATCTCTAATGTTTGTCGGGCTAATTAATTAATCAATTAATTGGTCTAGTCAAGTGCAGTTAGCTGACAGGTAAGTAACAAGCAACAGCTGCAGAACCTGTGGATTGAATAATATACTCAATATATTTAGCTCTTCACACTGATCTAGCGAGGAGAGTGTGCAGGAGCATTGTGTTTTCCTCTTACTCTTGTTACTTACATGGTGGGATTTGTATCGCCTTCAAATATACATCTATTTGTATATGACCAGAACTTAGTTTACACTTCCTAAATTCATGCTCTTAAACATTTGAATTTAGTAGTGTTTCCATCTCTTAAGCATCCTCTGCCCCTGTTTACGAAAATACTCCTTGTAATTCACATAAACAAAACACTGGAAATGTATTTTATTTCCTTTTCAAACTAAGAAGGAGAAAAAGAGGTTTCCTGTAGCCTTCCTTGTTTAGTAGAACACATTTCTGAAACAAGACTCTCAGGGAAAAAAAAAAAAAAAAAGAAAACTTAACAATGAGGTTTTACAATAGGAATTGCTAGTTGATTTCATTTATATCCCAAATCAGTTATTTCCCTGATTTATTTTTTTTCACAAATAAAAAGTTAAAAGGTTTGTTGTTGCTTTTTTTAATCCATAAGCAAGACTAAGTGAAATCACTACTTTGAGGACTACATAAAAATTTAGTGAGCATCTTGTCTAGGACACTGATTTCACAAGTGCAAATCTAAGTAAGAGCCAAGAATATCAACTGACTTCACGAGGTCAGCAAGTGAAATCATGTTTGAAGCAGCAGAAAAATCACATAACCTCCATAGGATATTGTCTAAATTGTACAAATCACTTATTTGAAGATGTACACACACACACATAATGACTTTCAAATGTGGCCCTTCAATTCAATTATTGCCTTAAATCTGTAAATATTTATTGATTCAGGAACTGTAATAACATTAGCTGACTTAAAAAAAAATCTAATGAATATCCTAGGGTTTTTCTCAGCCAGGGTGTTATAAACATAGTCTGGAATATATCTTAGGCCTATAAATTTCAGCCTGCTGTACCAAAAATAGCAGAACTCTCTGGAAAGATTTGTAATATATACAAGTAGTAGTACGTAAAATAGAAAACAGCACCGAAGTTGTTGAATGCCAATTAACTGTTGTCCGCAACTCCAAATATTTTTTTATTCCAGCTAACACACATTTTTGGAATTTTAAAGAAAAGTCTAGGTATAACAAGCCATAGAAATACATAATAATCATAGCAGAAAAAGTAAATGATGGACCCTGGACCTTTGTTTGTTTTTATTTCCCTAAATGAGGTTTCTTTTCATTTTTCTTTTTGTGTGCAGTTACCTCTTTTCTAATACATGTAATACACAATTCTTGGAAATTTTTATTGATGAATGCTTGTGGAATTTTGTACATTGACTAATGTGACTGTTGACACTTTAAAATTCTCCTTCACAAAGCTCTCAATACTGCAAATATATGTATCTGATGTATAAGAGTGAGCTCCATTTTTACTCATATTTTACAAAATAATTATTGCACACTTCTGAGAGATTGTATATATTTGTTAAATATTTACCACATAACTATTGGTTAAAAATAAATTATAAACTTGAGAATAAAATGGTCACCATCACAGTTCTGAGTCAAAAGCTGCCTGCAGGGCTCTAAAACTTCCAAAAGAAAAATTAAAGTTCGGTCAGTTGTTTTTCTGTCTGTGAAACACTAAACAAATTACCTGCCTTTCAGAATACTTTTCAGGATATTTCTACCTCCTATAGATATAACTAGAGAGGCTTTTCATTGTGGCCCTGTGGATCCTGACATACATTTTATATTCATATGTATGAAGATAATTTTATATTTTTGAGAGCTGTTACTTCTTGGTCTTATGCAGTGATACATGTGAACTTTATTTTTATATACAGGATCTTTCAAACAGCTAATATAACAAGAGAATTGCAGAGAAATGATTTATGACAAGTAAGATAATATGCAAGACGCTTAAATTTGTGGATTATTGTTTCCACTCCTATAAAAATTGTCTTGATTCAAATGGGTCAGTTTGATTCTTACATAATTTCATTCTTTTTCCAGAAAATCACCTCACCATCACCTGTGGAATTCCATCATATATGGCATGATTTCTTTCTTCCTTTTGTAGAGAAGAGCCCAAGAGAGAATTCGTGCCACAGTGACCCTGCTGTGCCCTATGTTTATTCGGCAGTAATCCTCGGGGAAAGGATTTTGAAAATGTATTAGAGCTAGCACCGAGAACGAGTGTTATTTTGAAGAAGTTACTGCTCCTTAACATTCTATTTTAAGTAGATATTATAGGTGTGATTCCTTTTAAAACAAAAGAAAAAAGGAGAGCTGTGTTTGATTTTACAAATGGAAGGTTTTGTTCCTGATACCGAATGACATTATTCATTTACCTTGGCCCTGTCGGTGTTTGATAGGGTTTTTTCCCCTCCTTTTCACTCAACAACAACAATAATAGTATCAGATCTCGGACTAAGAATCTCACGAAACAGAAAAGGGGATGTGAGCATCCTAGATCCAGCTTTATGAAGCAATGCCCACACACATCTCACCCCCTTGGTTGATAGAGATGATTAAGCTCCTCAAGCTTGAATCTACAGGGAAGTTGTAACCATGCAGTTCCCACATGAACAAATATTGGCGCTTCCACCAAGAATCCCCAAAACCAGTTACAAAGTGAAGAGCTCAGACCTACAAAAGTGTGGACCCAGAGGGCAGACGGGACCACAAGAAGGTGCGAAGTTGGTAACTATGCTTTGAGAAACCGGGACATATATATATATATATATATATATATATATATATATATATATATATCTCCCGCCTGAATTATAGCTTGAGCTTTCTTTGCAATATTTACCATCTAATAATTAATGACTCCCACGCCGGGCGCCTTGTTGCCAGGACTGGGGTTCGGGCCACCGGGAGCCCCTGACGTCAGCGGCAGCGCGGCCTGCGTCAGGTCCCCCGAGCAGCCCCGAAGGTGGCCCCGACCGACCTACCAAGGCCTTGGGGGCTTCGGGGAGGGAGCCCCGGGCAGGGCTGGATGATATCCCAGAAGGGGCGAAAGAGGCTTTTCTCAAGCCAGCCAGTAAGTCACGTCGCATTTAGAACTTCAGGGTTCACGGCTCCGGGGTACTCGCGGGTACCCCAGAGTTGCGACCGGGTCCGGAGGCCCAAACCCAGGTGTAAGCTCCCGGGGCTAGACGAGGGTGGAGGCTGTAGAGAAGGGGGCCAAAGAAACTCGGAGCAAGTCTGTAAGCGGCAAGTGCTTCCTTCCTTCCACTCTTACAAGCATCAGCATTGTAGTAATCCCACCGACTCCCAAAAGTGGACCTTAAAATGAAATAGATCCACCGTTTCCACCTCAACTTGACACAACTCGGAAGTTGGTGGTCCCGGGCAGTGTCTCGCCCTTGCACCAGTAACTGGTGATCGCAGACTGGGTAGGAGGGTGCTGGGGACCCGCCACTGGGGGAAAATGAACTCGATCTCTCAGTTAACTGGCCACAATCTTTCCTTTCTCCATCCCCTACCAACCTTTCCCTTCTTTCTCCATTCTCTTCTTAACTCTTAGACCATTTTTGCAACCTTCTCAAGCCTGCGGGGTTCTCAAGAGTCTGGAAAGGTGTGATTTTTCCAAAGAGGGCCAGGACGTCTATCGTCTCGAAAAGTGTTCAACCGGCTCAGTTGCCCTTGTCCTAAGGGTCGGGAACCAGAATTTGGCGAGCCGTCGGCCTGTGCGTGGGGACGCTATCTACAAAACCCATTGTGGAGCAAGTCCTGTAGCTCTCATAGGCCCTGTCTGTATTTCTTCAACGTAGGCTCTTGGAGAATGACCTCTCTCCCCTAGATTCCTTATTTTTAACCTATCTTTTTTTCCCATGATAGTAAGTGCCTTTCTCGTTTAATTTTCCGTCTTTTCATCTACACTCAGAGGACACCGAGGAATGGAGACAGAGCCTCTCTAAGCAAAGATAGGAGGCCAAAAACTGTTTCGCGTACGTTTTCCCCTGGATTAAATCCGCATCCCAGGAACCGCCCCTGCGGAGACCCAGCAAAACCCAGCGGCAGAACCCAGCACTCAGGTGCAGAAAACGTCTGCGTCTGCCTCTGCGATACTCTCCCCAGGACAGCAACGTGAAGAAGCCAGCGGTTAGAGGGTTGCCAGGTACAGAGCAAGAACACCGTTTCGCTTCGCCCTCCCCCTTCCACTCTTAGAGTGGCTGGAAACTTCGACAGGAGAGAATTTCTCCCCCCTTTCCAACTGACAACAGCGGGCTCTGCTATTGGGGGAAAGAAAAGAAAAGCATTTTCTGGCGGTATTCTTTTTTTTTTTTTTTTTTAAGTTCGAGCTTTAATGTGAGCTTAGATATAATGACACCTTCCCGAATCAGTCAATAAATACCGCGGGAGCCGCCGCACCCTGCAAGTGGCCGCAGCAAAGTCCCCAACCTCTGCCCCATCCGTGCGGCCGCTGCGCTCCAGGCCAGGGTGCTGGTGGCCAGCCTGCCTTCCCTTTCCGGGCTCCAACGTCTGGAGACAAATCGAACCAAATAAAATTGGGGGACACGTCAACTTTGAAACGGCTTTAAAATCTGTGACTCCCTCCTCTGTGTGTGCCCCACTGCCTGGCGGATATAAATTGTCATACTCCAGTATCTCCACCGAGTAAAACAGCATCTCAAAATATACGGATCTCAGAAAAGGATTATTGCCCTAACTGTGCCGCTGCCTTCACAGTCTTGCTTAGTATTAGGATTTAACACAACAGAATTTATTAGAACGAATGATTAGCTTTATTTATAAGCATTTCGTCCAAGTGGTGACTTGGGAGATTTCAGGAATTATTCAGAGAAGGCTTTTTGGTTTTGTTTTGTTTATTTTTTAAGGAGCTAGGAATGTGTCTTTTACCCGGTGTCCTCCACTGCCCTTTTCAGGCAGCGATTGGCCCTCCTGACATTTGGTTAAGCCTCGGGACTTAAAAAGATCATTTCCTCGTACACTAATTTGAGCAAAATCTGGATTCAGAGTGTGGGTTTACACGCCCAGCTCGAATGTCTAATGTATCAAATCCTCGTTAACGAACGGCCCGCTCCGTGGCCGTGTCAGCCAAAGGTCAGTCCCGTGCAACAGGGCAGCACGGTTCAAAAGCACTCTTCCAGAGCCCTGCCTACCCCTCCCCCCCAAAATCCATCTTTCACGTTTCAATAATAGAGCACACGGAGTTCCAGCAAGAAACACCAAGGCTGCTTTTCTTTCTTTCCTTCTTTCTTCACATTAGTGACATGTAAACGATGGGTCCTAGGGCAACTACTGAAACATTACGTTTATTTTTTTTTCCAGGGGAAGGGAGTGGAGTTAGTGGACAAGGTAATTGTCGAAATGTCCTCAAGAGGCACGTATATTTGAGAAGCGTGACTTAGAAATCTTCACTTAAAATAGTAACAACAACAACAAGGACTTCACAGCATTCGAATGAAACCTCTGAGTAAACTTTGTTGGAGACCTTAGGGATTAGACACTGCTTTAGGGAAGGGACAGTTTCCCTCCCCCATACTCCCCCAACACTCTCTCTCTCCCCTCTCGCTCTCTGCTCTCGCTCTCTCTCTTTAGAGACCAGCAGAAAGCTTATTCTTAAAAGGTAGCTTTTGGTGTCCAGAGGGACAAAGAGGATCCAGGGGAGCGAGGCTGGACCCTTTTCGCTCCCGCCTCACCGGGGAGCCCCGCGACATTTCTCACTACCTTGAGGTCCTAGGCGTTCATACACACCAGCCGCAGAGGCCGGATTCGCGCGGCTGCTCCAAACCAGCCCAACTTCTCAGCGCGCGCTTCGGGGCCACGCGCGTGCACGAAGTCGCGGGCCCAGTCCGCTAGGAAGGTGGCAGGGCGGGGTGGGGGAAGAACGCGACTTACCAAGTCTGGGGTCTAGGTTTCGGGCAAGGTTGGCAGCAGACAGAAGCCGGGCAGATAGTCCTACCGGAGACGGGCAATATGGGCAGGGACTAAGGCGCGAGTGGGTGGGGGTGGGGGTGGGGGGGGAGGAAAGCGCCTGTCTGGTTTGGGGTCCATCTTGGCCCCGGCTAGCTCCCCCGCCGTCGCCTCCGCAGACTAAACTCGGACTGACCCGGGGAGGCCACAGAGCCTGCCTCGCCTCCATCAGGCCAGAGCCTCTGGGCCTCTGGCGCCGACCCCGAGGCGCCGTGGGGGGGGAGGGGGGGGGGAGAGAAGCGTCCCCACTCTCTGGCCGGAGAGGAAGCAACCAAGTCGCAGGCACTGGTGCTGGCGGCCAAGCTGAGCAGCCGGGCAAGTCCGTCGCGTCCGGCCGCTGGCTTGCAGACCCCGGCCCGCTCCCGCCTACGCCCCTCCCTTTCGTCAAGCCCCTCGCCAAATGAAAAGGGTTCTTTGGGCTTTGGCCTTTTGGGGAGGAACGCAGGAACCCACGCTGGGTTTGAGCTTTCTGCTCAGAGTGTGCCCGACACAGGTCTTCATCATTAGCATGGAGTCCGTGGAATCGCCCTCCCCATAACACGTTTAAACACAAAAGGACCCAAATCGCGAAGGGTTTCCCGTGAGGTGGCTCTTGTGGCAGGGGTTCAGTGGATCAAGGGATTTTGCACCCGGGACTAAACGTTGGACGCTCTGGCCTCCGGGGACCTCAGACAAGAGAACCCCTTGCTCCAGCCCGTTCCGCCAAGTCCCTGGGTGTGGGAGTGAGGGGCTTCTGCCAGGCTTCTGTGGATCCAGGTCCGTGAGGCTCTTCTCAAACCATCTTTGTATTATCGAACTCTGAGACCTAAAGGCTGGCAAAGAGAAAAGGCCTCGTCCTGGCAGGAACGTTTCCAAAACCCCTCTCGGCTGCACCCTTCAGCGGAAGACTTGGCGACTGGTGACTGTCAGATGGAATGCTGCTACGGCCCCCCATCAGAACTGGTAGGGTGAAGCTGGCCCTCAGTAAGACTGCAGTGGCACAAGGCCTCTCCTGTTGGCAGTGGAGGAAGCAAGAGGGATGGGTGTCATGGAATGAGTCCACCCGTTCAGTTAAAAGTAAAATCCTGAAGATTAGAACCTGTGGCAGCCATTATCTGATGCCATGGGACCTAGGATTTTGACCAACACACTCAAAGACAGGACTCTACAGGCGGCTGAGAATAGAATGATCCAAGGGCCTTCCACCACCCCTCCCCTTTGTTTAAAAGCGTTGGTCACTCCACCAGACAGGTTATTCACTCGCTCTGTAACTGTCAGCACATTGGCCACAAAATGTCATGCACCGTGCAGAACCCCAAGAATGTCACCAGCGCCTGAACTCCGGATGTCTCTCAGCAAACCCTACACTTGCCAGGTCTCTCAGCCAGGGCAGTTCCTCCACCAGTCATCACATAAGCACGTTTGAGGTTAACAGAACTACATCAGCTCCTAGACAAGCGAGCTGACGAGCATTATTTGGGAAGGGTCAAATGAAAACCTTAGAGCGAGCTGCTGCTAACCCCCTAAATGGGTAACTAGGGCTAGGGCACAGAAAGAGGAAGAGGGACCAGGAGAGAGAAAGGAAAGGGGGAGAGAGACAGACAGGGGGACATTCAGGCCTATATCTGGGCAAAGAAGTGGGCACTAGGAAACCCCTACTGCCTGCTCCCCCCTCCCACCATCTCAGGCTTGGGTTCTCTCTATGGGCAGCGGGGAGAGTGCCCCGTCTAGGAGCTAAGGGATGAGAAGAGCCAGGATGCCAGCTTCCGGTTTGGGCGGGGACGGGAGGTGGAGGAATCCTCAGCGGACTTGGATCTCGTCTGGGACTCTCGCACCTCGCAGGCCCTCGGGGTAAGGGAGACTGCCTGGCCGGCTCAGCTTTCGGTTCTTTCTAAGTTCTGCGAGCTTAGGCTCGAGCCTACTCTGTCTGCCTGGCTTTGTGAACTCACTTAAACCAGCGCGGCTTGAAAACAAACACGTGCAGCTTCCTCGCCGCACTATTTTGGCAGCCCGGCCGGCGGCTTTCACAGGCCTGAGCCTCTGAGAGGTTCCCTCCGCAGCCCGCGTGGGCAAAGGCGCCTGCTGCATATTCATCAGCACGTGGAACCGCGGGCCGCGGGCCGCGCATGCGCACTGCGTTCCCAGACGCAGCCCCAGCCCGCGGCAGCGACTTGGAAAGCGCCCCGCTGGCCTGCAGGGTGGCGCAAAGGGCCCCTCAAAAGCTGACCGCCTGGCCTTTGGTGGTGGTGCTGTGGGGAAGTCTTGCTGTTCCGCACCCTCCACCCCCGACGCACACGTCCACCCCCAACCCCTGTGTTTATAGATTTTCAGGAAATTCTCTAGGACAAAAATCTCCCTTGACACATAGACTCACCCACGCCATTCTCTTGGTTTTACCTTCCTCCACAACTCAGTTTGCTTTGCGAGAAGCTAGGGTTTTTCCGAGTGGACAGATGATTTTTAAAAAGGAATCAAGATGTGAGCTTCTCTCACTGTCTTTACGTCCTTATGTTTTCTGTAGCTTAATGAAAATTGTTACACAAAGGATAGATTTGCTAAGGTATCTCGCCTTCAAACGTCTGGAGGCTTTTTTTTTTTAAAGATACGATTCCCATATGTTTATATCCACGCTTAAGAGTAGGCTGTAGGTGCTGTAGGTGAAAATATCACTGTGTAAGTTTCACAACCAGTGAATTTCCCTGCATTTACTAGAGATGCCCTGCAACCATTAGAAGCAGCCAAAATATTGTGGACAGTTGACAGTTTTAAGTCTCTAGCATCTTCGCTGCCAAACAATGTTATTTCCATACTGGATAGCTAACTCTTATTTCTCATTCTTGAGAAACCCACCTCCAATTTAACATCAATTGGAAACTTTATACTGTTCTAGCTCCTCCTCTAAAGTGGAAATAAACGTTAGGAACTAATGCCAGAATTCAGCTTGCATGGTATAAATAGTCCCTGGTTTGGCCTGGTCTTGTTGCCTCTTGCTCAGGCAGAGACTCTGGAGCAACCAGTCTTGCATAGATTAATGGAGAATATTGCCCATTCTCTGTGTATATTACACCATTATATTTGCAATAAACTTTGAAGAAAAGGCTCAAATGTGACATGTCATAGGAAGTTGTTAACATTTTTTATTATTTCTAGCCCCAAACTAGTAATTGTCACTTGAAAAATATATATATAGGTATCCTTATAAAGTATTTTCTATATCCAACCAGTTTGAATGGATACATATTACTGATGGTGAATGAGGTGGTAAAAGCTGAAAGAGTACCATAGATAATGTCAACCTTTAGTGGCTTAACTGGCATAGATGGGATATATCTTTTCATTGCCCCTCTATTTTCAAAAATTCTAAAACCAGAGAGTGCTGTCAACTGTGACCATCTTTATGAAAGCAAGACTTTTTTTTTTTTTTTTTAGCCAATAATAACACAAGGTTCTAAGAACTACACTTGGTGCTAGGAGGAAGTGAGAACTCTATACCTAGAGAGGAGATAAATTTCTAATTAGTATTTCACATTTAAAAAAAAAGAAATGTGAATTGGGAATCTCTGAAATCTGATGGTTTCATATCTAGTTCACAAATAATCAAAAGCCCAAGCTCAGGGCTTTCCTTTTGAGTTTGCCAGACCATATATAGTTACTCCCCAACCCATCTTAAACTGATGCTGTTCTTTAGGGACCAGGGCCTTCTCCAAGCTTCTTCCTGGAAA